CCAGATACTATTGTGGGTGATTACTAAAGTTCTAGATGCAGCCAGATACTATTGTGGGTGATTACTAAAGTTCTAGATGCAGCCAGATACTATTGTGGGTGATTACTAAAGTTCTAGATGCAGCCAGATACTATTGTGGGTGATTACTAAAGTTCTAGATGCAGCCAGATACTATTGTGGGTGATTACTAAAGTTCTAGATGCAGCCAGATACTATTGTGGGTGATTACTAAAGTTCTAGATGCAGCCAGATACTATTGTGGGTGATTACTAAAGTGCGTCTTTTGCACTCAAGTAGTCGTTAAGACGACCCATTGGGTGCTGGTTTCGCACACCCGGCATTTAAAATTATCTGCAGTTCTATGAATGTCCTTGCCTCTGCCCACTTCGAGTATCATTGTATACCCCGAAGGTCACCGGTGGTCGGGTAACGTGTGGGTGCTCCCACCTCGGCCAAGATATCTTGGCACTGTGATGGCGCAAACCTCGTAAACCTCTTGGGGGGCTCCTCTCTACGGCTGCCGTCGAGTGGGGGGGGGGGGCCTTTTGCCAGCTGCGGAGAGAGCAAAGCAATTGCAGGGCCGGTACCTTTAACTTTAATCTTTTTTTATATTCCTATATAATATAATTACTTTCTTACTTCGGTCCCTTAAGTATACGTGTTCATCTCGTTTGTTAATATTCTATTAATTACATTATTATGTTCTTGTTCATGTTATTGATTTTGCTAAAATTGGCATTTTAGGTGAATTGGTTATATACAACTTGCGGGGTTTATTTTACGGTTCACTAAAAAGTGATTTTCATTCGTTTTGTATTTCGCAGTCCTACAATGCGGACTCTCAAAAAATCCATACAATTTCACTGCCACCATCTCGCTGCTCGCAGCTTGGCAGGGCGCCTTTAAAGCGGCTGCCAGAACTGTCTGTAGCTTTCGACCAAACACCAACAACATCAGACTCAACGACTCCTCTAAGTTGCAGTCGTTAAGCTGGAAGTGATTAAAACTTGGCCATGATCCCAGCGCGATAAGGATTCCTCTCGGGTGAATCTAAACACACCGCCACTGCGATCCTCTTCAAGCATAAGGGCTTTCTATTTGTACGCGTTGAAACGAAGTCAATAATACTGCAATGACCCGTGATCTGACATCCCAATGAAGGCGGGTGTCCCAGAAGGTTGACGATTTCAAGACGCTGAGTTGTGGCATACGTGCGCCGTTACCGATCGCCGTGAAACCGGCCGGCTGATTCACCGCTTCGCACGGACAGGAACCTGTAAACTGCCACGAAAAGAACAGTGAATCCATACTCTTTGGTTCTTTCGGTAAAGTCACGTAGGTATAGAATAAAACAAATCACGACGTTTCGGGCGCAACACAAGCGTCCATCATCAGGTGGGAAAGCATGGTCTGCTGCTGAGGCAGACAGGGAGGCAGATTTTGCCAGACCCCACTCCCGTGTGGTGTAATTACGACACTAATCACAGCAGGAATAATCGCGAGAATGACGGTGATGATTCATCGCACACCCAATTAGTGAATTGTTCACCTAAGATTTGCCGCTCATGACCATTTGAAGAGAAACCAATTAGATATTTTTGCATCGCTTAATGCAAACTTAATTCCCAGTTACGGTCATTATTGTAGCAAAAATAATGCCCTCTATTTTGGCAAGAGAGCCACACTCGGCCTCAAGAATAAATTTCAGGAGCGTCCTGCATTGCTGTGTTTTACTGACGCCATTAATAGCACGGCTGGGACCTCTGATTAGTATGGTTGACTACGTATGGTGTGAAAGAAGTTCACGTACATTAATAACTCATTAACGCTTTCGCTCTAACTCTCTCGAGGCAAATATTTATCTCTCAGTACTGAATTAAAAACAAGTGCATGCAAGGTACTATGACAGAATACATTGACCTGACCAGGTAGTGCTGTGACTCGAGTGGTTTATTCACAAATTGGAATCAACTCGACTGATCATCCCCTAGAGGTCAATTTTATTTTAGTACCACTCTGGAAGAAATCCACAGTGCTTAAGCTCTAGCCAGACTGCCCCCTGCCATAGTAATGTGGAGTTTTCAACACTGGTTCAGTAACACGTGGAGATACTTCGTCTGCGAGCATCAAATTCAGGTTAAGGCAATTTCCTACAAATCAAATTAAATAAATCACTACGTTTGTAGCTGCTGAGCTACACCCAGTTCAAACCTTTTAAAACAGTCTGCCTCAGCAGCAGACCATGCTTTCCCACCTGATAACAGACGCTTGTGTTGCGCCCGATACGTCGTGATTTATTTAATTTTATACCTACCAAAGAGTATGGATTCCTGCAGTCACGAAAGCTTCAAATCAAGATTAAATTTCCTACATTTCATGACCTAACCACGTTCTCAAAAGCCTAGAATCCCTATGAAACAAGGGGCATGTTGCTATCATTATTGCTAAAGGCGTATTTACAGCTCTTCAAAATCAAACTGTTTTCCTTCTCAGACTAGCACTGGGGTGGCACTCATTTCCGTTGGGTGGCCTTGAGCCACTGGTAGACACTCCACATTCACTTGACAGGGCCCAGTCTATCCACGGGATGACCGATGTTCACTTCTGAACAAGTAGTGCTCACTGTATTTACCCCAACACAGTCAGCCGCTATGATGGGCTCCATTGTCTCCCGACCGCGAATTAGAACTCGCATCCTTTTGATTCTGAGTAATGCAGTCTGCCCATAGCAAGACCTGGCTAGGACTCAATAACACATTCCTGCGGAGGGAGCTGGTAGGAACGTTGGGTTGCTCGGTCAATGGCCAGAGTCAACGGCGGCGTGGTGTATTCCGCAAATATGCCCGACTATGAGGGCGGGCACAAGCCAGTGTGAGTAGGTTAAACGTTGAGTTTTAAAAGGGCACCACAGGGTGACCAGCCCCTCCCCACCCAGCCCCTATCCGCTTCTCAAGTGCGGTTTTTGGGCGACATTGCCACATTTCTGCCTCCCCACGCTTTAACTTCTTCCGTCCTCTTCTTCCCCCACAGCATATTGTCAGCCATAATAACGATCTAATGGCAGTGATAATAGTGTACTTACAATCGGTAGCATCGGGAATGTCCTGTATAAATGACGTATATTAATAACGTTTTATATTGTTGACAATGCCAGTTTGTCAGTGCTTCCTAAATCAATTTAAATTCCTCGTATCTCTCCCTTGCCATGGGCCGATCACATTTTAATATTTTCTCATAATCCCAGGTATCTGACACTGTGACAGTGCAATTGACTAAAAAATTTAAAGATTACGAGTTCAAATCCCAATCAGCAGATTGATTTAATCCATCATCCCCCGCGGTCAACAACATCATAACTACTTTGTTGAAAGTCAACATTGATTGTACGACAGAGAGACTGGCCCCAACGGTTCAAGGCCGACGTTTGCCACCTAAATGAGTAGAGAGTTCGTATTAGCACGGTCCTTGACCGTAACCTTCTGGCTGATAACCCCCAATGTTCGAGAACGTCAAAGGTCTGAGGCCTCTGGGATTGTACCAGGAATCCTACCGGGTAATTTCAACCCCGGCAGTACGGCACACAAACTGGAGTTTTGAAAGCTCTGTGTTATTTAATACGATGTAACAATTTCGATTTAAAGCTTTCGTGACTGCAGGGATTCATCTTCTTGGTTCTGTCGGTAAAGTCACGTAGAATGGAAATAATAGAATAATAAAAATAAAACATAATAAAATAATTCTCACGACGTTTCGGCCAAGACAGCTGTCTTCTCGACAGACCTGTTCTTTACCTGAGGACGGCTGCTTGCGTTGTGGCCGAAACGTCGTGAGAATTATTTTATTGTTTTATTTGTATTATTTTATTATTTCCATTCTACGTGACTTTACCGAAAGAACGAAGAAGACGATGTAACAAGGCAAATAATTAACCGCACGGTTAATGAAAATAATATCTGTGATGTTTACGTAAACAGCTGGAATACATATATGCATACTGGTTCCCAACCTTTCTGGACCCACGCACCATGGTGAACTATCATATTTCGCTGACCACGTGCTGCAGTAAAGAATCGTGTGGAAAAAAATCACACCCCCAACAGTTCGGCGGACCTTTCCCCCACTGCCTTACGGAGACCAGCAGTGGTCAGCGGACCGTGGGTTAGGTGGACCACTGCATTAGGATGAAACAAAACTCAACATATTCGTCAATAACATTGTAGCCTTGAAAAGGAAAACATATATGTGTGATAAGGCGACGTTCCGTGCAATAGCCCATTTCTTCTTCACGCATAGAGACGCCAGAGAGCTTTCGCATGGCTAATATATGTATGTTGAACTTATATAATAAGACTTGGAGACTGCACTTTTCCACTGCTTGGGGCCTAATGAGCATTACATTCACACAATGTGTTTTCGGATGACTCGTTTTTTTTTTTTGGCTACATGAAGAGTAACCGAACAGCAGGTGACTAGCGTGTGTGTGGCGTGCATTTCAAAGCCCATGTTTGAATTAGCGCTGCTTTGTGATGAGACAAAGAGCCACCACTCTCCATTTGCGCGAGTTCCAGACAGCGTGCGTTGCTGCTGCCGCTGTGCCTCGACACGACTGACCGTTGGATGACGGCCGGGGCGACACTCGCTGTTGTAATTTAGCATGTTGATGACCTCTGTTGATATGTAAACTCATTTGTCAAGGCTCTCTGCTCCTCCCACCCAGCTTAAAATACGCTGCCAAGCTTAGCAGTGTTCATTAGGACGCTGTCTTTTCCACAGCTCTGTTTCTTCACCTGAGGACGGCTGCTTGCGTTGTGGCCGAAACGTCGTGAGAATTTTATTCTGTTTTATATTTTATTATTGTATTATTTCCCTTCTACGTGACTTTACCGAAAGAACCAAGAAGATGAATCCCTGCAGTCACGAAAGCTTTAAATCTAAACTCGCTGTTTGTGTCGAGTCAGGCTGCGACAGGCTGAGTGTCACCCCTCTGCATGCTGTGGCAGGACGGAGTGGTACGGGATGCTGTACTCGCAAGCGGACAGCAAGAAGAAGTCCAACCTCATGATGTCGGTGTTCGAGCCGGGCTGCGACCCCTTGCCCTGGCTCCAAGCCATCCCGCTGCTGGGCCCCGTCACAGGTACGGCTCACGAACAACAGCTCCGTCGCGCTAATACGTAACAACAACAACATGACTCGCTGCATCCCACGGTAATCCTGAACTCAAGACGGCAATAATACACTTTGCATTCGCCGTTTAAGAGTTTGAGCTGGAAATATTTAAGCCTACTTTTGGTTTTTTTTTCAAGTTGCCCCCTCTCATAATTGTGGTTTGCTCACAGACTTTGTAATAAACACAGACAAAGGTTAAATTTCGATTTAAAGCTTTCGTGACTGCAGGGATTCATATTCTTGGTTCTTTCGGTAAAGTCACGTAGAAGGGAAATAATAAAATACAACAAGTACACAACAGGACTGCCAGTATGCTTTGCATGTCAAGATGACTTTGCCACTCTTGTGCAATATTCTGCACGCAGCCTCGTCATAGCTACCAGCTCAGAAGAGGCCGGCCTCCTTGTGCGCTTTCTGGGTGGCTCGCCAGTGGAGAATTGGCTTGTGCTTTCGATAAGGGGTGGCAGAATAAGCTGCCTCTGAAGTCCAAAGTTATTCGATTGAAAAAGTAAGCCCCCTGCCCGCACAGCTGTGCGGCGTGCGTGGCATCGCCTGACCAGTGGCGTTACCAGGAGCATACGAACGCACGTTCGCACGTGTGTAACGTGCGTAATGCGTGTACGTGGATTTTGTAATGTCGATGTTGTATGTGGGTTCTGATGTGGAGAAATTGTTGACGCGATTGTCAAAGTTCACACATTAGCGTGTCGCCTTGTTTTGTCCGTGTTGCTTAATCGTCTCCCACCCCCGCACCTCCGATTAGCACAGTTGGCTACGTATGGTGCAAAAGAAGTTCATCATACATACATCGTCAGCTCAGTTGCGAGGGAATGTAAGCTGTTGCCAGCAAAGGTCCTGTTGGCTGAAAAACATTTTTTTTTTTGCTGTCTCAGCACCATTTACATTTCCTTGCAGTTTTGCTGAATAAAAAAATGTTTGGTTTGGAACTGTGGCCCAAGAAATGCATAATCCATTCTTAGATCCTCTAAATCCTTTAAGCACTCCCAGAAACCGTACAAGTATTTTACGATGAAGGCTCTACTTTGTTGCTGTTTTACAAACGCACAAGCATCTCACACATCCCCTCAATCCATCCCCAGCATCCACCCCCCCCCCCCCCCTTTAGGCCAAGTTCAATAAAATGAAATAGTGACTTCCTCAATATTGATGTAATTTAAAATGACTCTAAAACTCTGAAGCATACAGTTCCTAGTTTCTACTGTGATCTTATACTGTGTGCTCTTTCTGCCACTTCGAATATCCGTTTAACAGGTGATCATAGCATGGTTAATAAAGGGTTTAGTCACGTGAAACGCCAGACGTTAGCTTAAATAATCTAAACCGGCATATTACCGAGAGCCGTTCAAACATATACAATTATTGCAATAATTATGCAACCTCAAATGCTTTCTTTGTGGCTGCAGGCTGGCTACGCTCGACTACCGTAATATCAAACTGCCAAAGGGGTTGTTATACAGTCGCATTATAATTAATTAGCGATGTTGATAGCATAATTTCCGCTGTGGAAATGTGGTGGTGGCAGCGGTTAAACGTGGAGATAAACCCACAATAATAACAGAGGACAAATTAAAATTTTTCAGCAAAAGGAAAGAAAAAAAAAGAATGCACCGTGTAAGAACCACATTTCTATTCCGTTCAAGCCCACTTATTTATTTCGAACATTAAACACAACGAGGTTGAAATGCACGTGCAGTGGAGCAACACGCGCGCGCGGGGGGTTTTGCAAACGGCGTGCACGCAACGTGTGAACGGCGGACAGGGCAAATAGGTGCAGAGAGAGAGAGCGATCAGAGGAAGGCGACCGATTAAGAGGCGGTAAGGGGGAGGACACGTGCAAGAGGCTTTGGGATGACGCCGGCTTAATGAGGGCCATCTCAGGGCAGCTAATGAGGAGGAGGATAAATAAGGGAACGTGTGTGGCGGAGAGAGGAGTTGTTGGTTGGCGTTGGGTAGGGTTGGTTGGAGTGAAGAGAAGGGGAAAATGTCAAAACTGGGTGGTTTTTAACTTTTGCCGACAAAACTGGATCCCAAATGTCAAAACTGGGTGCACCCTGGGTGGCCAAAAACTTGAGTTTTGGACACTCAGGGTGCACCCAGTTTTGACATTTGTCAAATACACTTGATAATTGTATACTAGCACAGTGTGCCAGCACCCCATTCATCCAAACACTTGGTATTTGTATACTGGCACACTGTGCCAGTATACATATGGCAAGTGTTACTGTAGTAGCGAGCTGGCACACTGTGCCAGTATACAAACGGCAAGTAAGCGAGCTGGCACACTGTGCCAGTATACAAATGGCAAGTACGTGTATGTTCGCGAGCTGAAAGTGTTACTGTAGTTGCAAGCTGGCACACTGTGCCAGTATACATATGGCAAGTAAGTGTTACTGTAGTAGCGAGCTGGCACACTGTGCCAGTATGCAAACGGGAAGTTGTGGTGCAAGGTATGGAACATGAGCCACGAGAAACATCATTTGGAACGCTCTAAATCTGTGGCGACATATGGATGAATAACGCAAGGACCTAAACGTGTACAAAATGATACATTAAATCGTACACCTTCTTCACCCAGTTTTGACATTTGTCCACATTGAACATCACCCAGTTTTGTCATATCAAAAAGCACCACCCTGTTTTGCCTGTCGTTTTCCAAGACCACCCAGTTTTGACATTTGGGATCCAGTTTTGTCGGCAAAAGTTAAAAACCACCCAGTTTTGACATTTTCCCTGAAGAGAAGAGTGAACGCAAGAGAAGTCTGGGGCCCCGCTCTCCACACCTCTGACCCCCCACTGGAGGCAAGGGCGAGGTTGGAGAGGCGAGGTTGGAGAGGCTAGCGGTAGAGAGGCGAGGGTAGAGAGGCTAGCAGTGGAGAGGCTAGCAGTGGAGAGGCGAGCAGTGGAGAGGCGAGCAGTGGAGAGGCTAGCAGTGGAGAGGCTAGCAGTGGAGAGGCTAGCAGTGGAGAGGCTAGCAGTGGAGAGGCTAGCAGTAGATAGGCAAGGGTAGAGAGGCTAGCGGTAAGAGGCTAGCAGTAGAGAAGCTAGCGGTAGAGAGGCTAGCGGTAGAGAAGCTAGCGGTAGAGAGACTAGCGGTAGAGAGGCTAGCGGTAGAGAGGCTAGCGGTAGAGAGGCTAGCGGTAGAGAGGCTAGCGGTAGAGAGGCTAGCGGTAGAGAGGCTAGCGGTAGAGAGGCTAGCAGTAGAGAGGCTAGCGGTAGAGAGGCTAGCGGTAGAGAGGCTAGCAGTAGAGAGACTAGCGGTAGAGAGACTAGCGGTAGAGAGGCTAGCAGTAGAGAGGCTACCGGTAGAGAGGCTAGCGGTAGAGAGACTAGCGGTAGAGAGGCTAGCAGTAGAGAGGCTAGCGGTAGAGAAGCTAGCAGTAGAGAGACTAGCGGTAGAGAGGCTAGCGGTAGAGAGGCTAGCGGTAGAGAGGCTAGCGGTAGAGAAGCTAGCAGTAGAGAGGCTAGCGGTAGAGAGGCTAGCGGTAGAGAGGCTAGCGGTAGAGAGACTAGCAGTGGAGAGGCTAGCGGTAGAGAAGCTACCAGTAGAGAGACTAGCGGTAGAGAAGCTAGCAGTAGAGAGGCTAGCAGTAGAGAGGCTAGCAGTAGAGAGGCTAGCGGTAGAGAGGCTAGCAGTAGAGAGGCTAGCGGTAGAGAGGCTAGCGGTAGAGAGGCTAGCGGTAGAGAAGCTACCAGTAGAGAGACTAGCGGTAGAGAAGCTAGCGGTAGAGAGGCTAGCGGTAGAGAGGCTAGCAGTAGAGAGGCTAGCGGTAGAGAGGCTAGCGGTAGAGAAGCTAGCAGTAGAGAGGCTAGCAGTAGAGAGGCTAGCAGTAGAGAGGCTAGCGGTAGAGAGGCTAGCGGTAGAGAAGCTAGCGGTAGAGAGGCTAGCGGTAGAGAGGCTAGCGGTAGAGAAGCTAGCAGTAGAGAGGCTAGCAGTAGAGAGGCTAGCGGTAGAGAGGCTAGCGGTAGAGAGGCTAGCAGTAGAGAGGCTAGCGGTAGAGAGGCTAGCGGTAGAGAAGCTAGCAGTAGAGAGGCTAGCGGTAGAGAGGCTAGCGGTAGAGAGGCTAGCGGTAGAGAGGCTAGCGGTAGAGAGGCTAGCAGTAGAGAGGCTAGCGGTAGAGAGGCTAGCAGTAGAGAGGCCAGCGGTAGAGAGGCTAGCAGTAGAGAGGCTAGCGGTAGAGAAGCTAGCAGTAGAGAGACTAGCGGTAGAGAGGCTAGCGGTAGAGAGGCTAGCGGTAGAGAGGCTAGCGGTAGAGAAGCTAGCAGTAGAGAGGCTAGCGGTAGAGAGGCTAGCGGTAGAGAGGCTAGCGGTAGAGAGACTAGCAGTGGAGAGGCTAGCGGTAGAGAAGCTACCAGTAGAGAGACTAGCGGTAGAGAGGCTAGCAGTAGAGAGGCTAGCAGTAGAGAGGCTAGCGGTAGAGAGGCTAGCAGTAGAGAGGCTAGCGGTAGAGAGGCTAGCGGTAGAGAGGCTAGCGGTAGAGAAGCTACCAGTAGAGAGACTAGCGGTAGAGAAGCTAGCGGTAGAGAGGCTAGCGGTAGAGAGGCTAGCAGTAGAGAGGCTAGCGGTAGAGAGGCTAGCGGTAGAGAGGCTAGCGGTAGAGAAGCTAGCAGTAGAGAGGCTAGCAGTAGAGAGGCTAGCAGTAGAGAGGCTAGCGGTAGAGAGGCTAGCAGTAGAGAAGCTAGCGGTAGAGAGGCTAGCGGTAGAGAGGCTAGCGGTAGAGAAGCTAGCAGTAGAGAGGCTAGCAGTAGAGAGGCTAGCGGTAGAGAGGCTAGCGGTAGAGAGGCTAGCAGTAGAGAGGCTAGCGGTAGAGAGGCTAGCGGTAGAGAAGCTAGCAGTAGAGAGGCTAGCGGTAGAGAGGCTAGCGGTAGAGAGGCTAGCGGTAGAGAGGCTAGCGGTAGAGAGGCTAGCAGTAGAGAGGCTAGCGGTAGAGAGGCTAGCAGTAGAGAGGC